CTATTTGGGACCAGTTGCAGTCCTAAGCATCACTTGGAAGATTCAAACAAATAAAACTAAGTGAATTCAACCTTCACCCCCTTTGCACAAGCAAGTGGCTATCAGACCTCAGTAGCTGAGTGGATAACGCGATGGCGTTTGAAGCGAAAGATACTGGGTTCGAGTCCTAGAGTGGACATCAACTCTGAGATGCAGGTACATCCAGCTGACGAGTCCTACATAGGACGAAAGGCGCCTTGTCTTGGATTCCACTGCTAGCCACTAACCATCTTTGCTTATTTTTCAACTATGTTACTGAATTGTTCTTGAGGGTTTACATTTTTCCATTGTTGATATTGAGCACTGGAATCGATCAATCTTTATTCGTACATTTTCTGGACACTTGATTCAAGTGTGAGTGCAGTCATCAACACTGAAATATTGGTGCATCTAGCTGACAAGTCCAAAATGGGATAAGACGCTAGACTTCGACCTCACTGTTAGCCACTATCGAACTTTGACAAAAATATGCTACCCATTGTTGTTTACAGGCAATGGTATCTACTATAATGAATTTTTCTTTTTCCGATTTTTCGTTTTATTGTCATTAATGTGGATATGACATAGTGAATTTTATGATTGCTATTCACCAATGTATAGATAGATAGATATGTAACAGAAATCGCTAATAACGTCATTATGAAAGATAAAGTCTTTTAAGAGCATTGACACAAGTTTTTATTTCGATAATGCAATGAGAAGACGAAGATTATCAGAACTATGTGATATATTAGCGCAATACATTTCGAACAATCTGATCACACATATACTTGTTAAGAACATTTATATATAAAAATAAAAGGTCAACTAGACTGGAAATAGGGGTAAGAATAGACAAGGATAATAATGATAAAATAATGTGAAAACAATTTGACACCTAATCACTCTGGATAATAAGCATATATTACCAGGGTAGGTTTAAAGAGAGAACAAACTGTTTTTGAATACACAAAGGGGGGTTGAATTTTCGTATGGCTAAGGCTTCAACAAACCTTAGTATACGCCCTTTTACACTTTTAAACAACACCACAAAAGCCGAGTTTAGATCAATCTTATGACCTGTTTCGATTATATGCTTAGCAATAGAGGATGATGGATGTTTATCCTCTACTCTTATTGGGTCATTCGACTGTATTTGTTTTTGCAACCATTTTGGTACATGTTCACCCAAGTTTTCACACAAGTTTTTATCTCGAAACAATTGCGCTCAAAATATTATATAGTTGAGATCATGAGTCAATTGAAGCTAGACCACTATGGAAAACCTGGAAGCACTGGATGGCCATTTCGTCCTATTGTGGGACTCCTCAGCAGTGTGCATCCACGATCCCGTCTCGCGGACTAATGATCTCAACTAGATAAAATTACTAAAATCTCCATGAAACCCCCTTCTGATCTGCTCAAAATAGTTGGCAGAAATTAAAGATGTTTTTCTTTTCGCCAGATCTATTCAACAAATTAGTATGCAGTTAATTTATGCTAAAAAAGATAGTAGTTTTGTCATGACTACAAATCTAAAAAATTGATTTTCTAATCTGTGTAATATTTATCACGCATACGTGGTGTTATATTATCTTTTATCAATTAGATTTCTTTTTTTCTTCATTATGTACAAGAATGTTCTCTAGAAGAGTAGTAATGTATCAAAAAAACGATGATTTGTCGTATAATTACTAATTCCATTCTGGACCAAACGGATCCTAAGAATGTTACAGAATTTTTAGAAGCATGGCATTCAGATATACTACAAGTAAATAGATACATCGATTTAGATCAGATCAATTAACCTATTCGAAAAAGTTCAACCAACAATTAAGTCAGAGGTTAACAGAACATGGTTGTCAATTTAAATATAAAGATAAACGAAGATAACGGAACGCATGACAATAAACAATCACAAGCAAGGTCATCAGATCAAACTGATTTTAAAGCTCGTAAAATAACTATAAAGCTTACTTTGTCATGAAATAATAGCTGATGACATTGTATAGAACGACAGTGTAAGCTCCGCAATTAGAGCTTCTATCTCCGTGAACTTAGAAAACATCAAAATACCTAATATTTATTTGATGTTTAGTATGAAAACTGTATTTTACTGACTGACTTTTGGTAGGAAATTTTTCCAAGTACCACCTTAACTTCAAATATCAGTGGTCCCCACTGATTTCTTAAGCTAATTACGCTGCTAAGTCATTCAATATCTACAATCCTATACAAAGTGTTTTAGAAAGATTATATTTCAAACATAGTGTAGCAGTAAGAAAATCTTGAGAAGAGCGCGTGAGGTATACAGCGCAAAAATGTGACAAATTGCCAATCGATCGGCGATACAGACAAAGAAAGTACTGAATTCCACAAATGCCGAAAGTGCAACAATGCTCAAGGTGAATAAGATAAGATTGTAAAAGACTCGAACAAAGGTATTTCATTCAAAATGTCGTTTGTTGTATGAGTTTATTCCTGAACGTAGAAAAGAATATTCAACAACTTGAAAATTGCTATATTTAAGCTCTGAACTGTTCATACTGACTTTTTAATCGCTTTCTAGCCTCTCAGTAGTTCACCCGATTGGAAAGCAGAAAGATGGAAGCATAGAGTGTTTGTTCGGGTACAAAAAAGAACAAGAGAATTTTTCAGCGTATTCGTGCCCTGAATATTCTGGATGCTATTGTAAACTTACTAAAATTAGTAATAAAATCGGTAATTCCACAGTCACGATATATTACATAGTCTATTGTTTTTATAGAACTCTCTGTGAAGTTACTACCGGATGATGAGGGGAACAAGTATTGTTAATCTTCTTGCATCTTCAAAAAACTATTCAGAGGAATTCTCTAGGGCTCTTGACATCCTTGTCTTGTAAATGACTGCAATAATGAGTACTTATTTGTGGAGTACTGAATATCAACATTGAGGAAAATATCAAACTCATCTTGGTCTATATCATAATAATAAACCCAAACACGTACCTTTGATTTCTATACGCTATCATTCAGTTTGATAATTAAACCTTCTTACTCATGTAGTCTTTTCACATTTGCATAGTAAGTTTGGCATATTGTAGGAAGTGAATATTATTGCTAAATTAAACGTCAGAATAAAAAAGAATTACAAAATATATTCCTCCATTACAAATTACTATTCGAATTTCGCGAGTCGGGATCGTGGATGCTCACTGTTGAAGAGTCCCATAATAGGACGAAACGGCCGTCCAGTGCTTCCAGGTTTTCCATAGTGGTCTAGTTTCAATTGACTCATGATTTGAACTATGAAAATACTGAAATCTCCACAAAACCCCTTCTGACTATTAGAACACTTTAAAAAAATATGTTGTTCAGTGGAAATATGAATATTTAATCTTATTTGTATTTCACTTACTGAACATAAAAAATTTCTAACTGTGAAGAATTTTAATTGAACAAAGAAAGTAGAATTACAAAGTCCTTTTCTTAAATTTATGCTATAATCAAGTTGTATAATTTACTTACGCCTGTTACCCCTCGTGGAAGAGCATAGGCTGCCCACCAGCATTCTCCATCCAACCCTGTCCTGGGCAATCCTTTCCAGTTGCTACTCATCCTTTTCATATCTGCTTCTATTTCCCGAAGTAGTGTGTTTTTTGGCCTTCATCTTTTCCGCTTCTCTTCACGATTCCAAATCAGGGCTTGCATCGTGATGCAGTTTCGTGATTTCAATGCATGTTCTATTCACTTACAACGTCTTTTCCTAATTCTCTCTTCAGTTGGAAGCTGGTTGTCTTCTCCCACAGAAGGCTGTTGCTGATAGTATCTAGCTAACGGATATTGAGTATCTTATTTAGACAACTATTTATAAATACTTGTACCTTTTTGATGATGGTTGTAGTAGTTCTTCAAGCTTCAGCTCCGTACAATGGAACTGTCTTGGAGTTTGTATTGAAGATTGTGATTTTGATATTAGTTGACAGTTGTTTTGAGTTCCGTATGTTCTTCAACTGTAGTAATGGTGACCTTACTTTGCCAATCCTCGCCTTGATGTCAGCATCAGATCCTCCTTGTTGATCGATGATGCTTCCCAAGTACGTGAAAGATTCCACATCTTCCAGAGTTTGTCAATCAGGTGTGATTGGGTTGGTGTTTTCCGTGTTGTAGTTGTATAACTGCAGATAAATTATTACAGTTTGTTTATTTTATAATTCACTGAAGGAACGGAGTACCAAAAAAATGACAAATGATTCTAGTACAGTATTCACTTTTGTTTAATTCATGAAAAATAATATGATGATAATATTACTCTGTTATACATCTTATGATAAATGTTTTTAGATGCCTTAAACGTATATACAAGATCCTGGAATGATTGAAGTTAGATATTCACACCATTGGATGCCTGTTCGTTGGTTTAAAGGTTAAGAGTGCGAGTGCGAGACTGTAGGTCCTGGGTTCGAATCCCGCGGAGGGGTCGTGGGTGAGCATTGCCAAAGAGTATCATACTTGGGAAAAACAGCCGCCCAGTGCTTCCAGGTTTTCAATGGTGGTCTGTCTCAGATCAACTCGTGATTTCAAATGTGAATATACAAAATAGTCAAGTCAAGAAAAGGAGATGCATCTAGTCAGGATTTCAATGTTCAATAAAAATACATACATTGAACAACGTAGGACTATAAGAAAATTACTCGTTAATACATTCTCACCTAATAGCAATCGTAAAGATTTCTCGGTGATGTATATTTGTTGATGTATTAGGTTGGTGAAAATTGTTCATTTTAGAGTAAGTTTTTATGAGTGTATAACTTCAGTTGAAGAAATACGAGACTGAAAACTAAGATTACTGACGCAGTGATCTATAAGTATCATACTCACTATGAACCATGAAGATTCTATTTTTGATTCTTGATTAGGTTATTGGTGTTCACTGTTGATGAGTCGAGAACTGAAATAAAGATATTGATTAGTGTTAATTTATTTACAATTAATCACTAGTGCATTATGTCAACATCAACAAGAGTCGAACTGAAAACATCATCAGATCCCACCAATAGAATAATAATTTAAAACCTACATTGAAATTCTCATCATGATTTGAAGAACTAAAAAGAAAAGTACTGGTTCGAACTTCAGTGAGAACAACAGCACTGGTCTGTAAATATATTTGCCCAGAACACAACGTGTGTCTTCGATTTCATTGCCAGTCACACAACAAATATACCATAACGTGTGACATAGAACTATATCGAAAAAATCTATTCACAATCTCCAAATACCAACAGAAGTTGAACAATTCTAATCTTGGACATCAATAACGGTAAGTAACAAACCTTCATAAAGACGGTTAAAATTTTCTCACAAAATTTGTTAAAATTTTGTGCTCTTTCATTCAACAACAGGGTAGTATAAAATCATTTCTAATTTGATTAAATTTCATACCCGTTATGCACGTGAATGACTATTTGGACTCAGTAGCTAAATGGATAATTCTACGGCATTTGAACCATACGGTACAGGGTTCGAGTCCCACAATGAACACCAACTCCCTGGGATGCAGGTGCATTCAGCTGATGAGTCCCAAATGGAACAAAATACACGTTCTAGCCACATTCCGTCTAGTGTATTACATTTTTGTTTCACGGATGGTTCATTCATTTTGTGCGTAATATAAATTTATACCATATAATTTTTAGATAAAACTAATACTTGTTTATCTTACCTTCTGCCTAATGCATAAAATAATTCTGACCTTTTAATCTTGAAAACAAGAATTTCATAACTTTGATCAAAGAGTTATCCACGAGTTCTTTAGAGAAAAAAAGAACTAATTGACGTAATTAAATGTAAAAGTATGTATCACCGGAAGAATTCACTTCTAACTAGATAAAATTTGAAAAATAACCGATAAAGAAGTAGTGATATTGTAGTGAACAAGAACACAAGTGGGGACAACCAAAAGTGGGGACAACACGAAATTATAGAATTTGAGAACCATACAGTAAATACTTCATTTGCAAAATGTCAATCAATTATATTAGACTTGATTGCTCTTTCGTTTCCACACCAATCATTCTCCGTCCTCATCCTTTTCTCTTCGATTTTGTTAATCTTTTGCCTCCAGGTATTTCATTTTCGATTGATGATACATACTACTTATATCTATTGATATCGGTAGCGCACGCTACAACATTTATATTATAACTGCTAAAAGAAAGTATTAAAAATAATTAATACTTGGAGCTGAAAATTATTAATCTATTCTAAATACATTTTGAATTAGCATATGACAATTTTCTTCTCTATCTTGCTTTGACTACTGAAAAGAAGCACATATCTTAAAGGATGAATGTATCTGGTAAATAATTTTGTGAATAATTCAAATTATATTCGAGTTCATTCAATAATAGACCGATTAAATTCAATGATTATTAGTTATAGAAATCATTAAACCGAACTGATATGTTTGAAGAGATTATGAGATCACCTGAAATCAACGACACAAAGACAAGTGAAGCTAAGCTATTCTGATGCATCGCAGTTATGTTAACTAGAGGGAGAAAACCTGGTTCAGATGAGAGGAAGGTATATCTCACAAGCAGCCAGAATCACGAACAAAACAAGCACACAACTCAAGTGTATGTATACAGCATAAAAAAGTCCTAAGGAAACATAACAAAATGCGTATTAAAAGAGGCAATGAACCAATGACATTAAGGGTCCTTCCAAGTGTGAAATACAATACGAATGTAAAAACAGGAGCTTTCGGCACGAAAACGGAAAATTCAAATTTTCAAAATAAAATTACAAAAATACGACGTTAACCAAGTGATTTCTGAGGATCTAGCATCGCCAACACGAACAAAAGTCAAGTGAACACAAAATTACGATGGATTAGTCTATAAAAATACGTTATTATTGGACAAACTTTAGTATGAGTATATGAATGAAAATATGCGTAGGCAGTAAACAATGCTCAAGCATACATATTCATATAAGTGCAACAATAGTAAAGTACAATAGTATAGGGATAAGTTTGTTATTGTACAAATGACTGTCCGTTAAATAAGTTAACAAAAGGGCTTAACTCAATGGTACGTGATGCGTTATAAAAAAATTATTCAGTACGTTCATCATTTTATCGATCAGTAACCTGAAGTCAAACCATGATGTGAACTTTACTTAATTTGTACTGGTTCGAGTGACATTCAGGATTAAATTTTTGACCAGTCTTGGAATATATGCATAGTGTGTGGATTATCTCAACATAACCATTATGAAACAAGTTTCCACAAAAACAGAAAGAAAATGAAATTCAGAAAGGACGTTACGTCTTATTTTGAACTTACCAAGCTAGATCCATCTACATCCTGCGGGTTTGGTGTTCACTCTGCGACCCGAACCCGGTACCGTTCTCTTCAACGTCATCACGCTATCCACATCGATACTCATTCCAGATAGTTACTCGCTTGTGAAATGGGTATGAATTTTAATACATTCTGTAGTGATATGGATTATCTCGTTGTTGATATTTTGACTGAATTTTGATTATTTTTTCGTTTGAAGCGAAAGGTACTAGATTCGAGTCTCAGAGTGCACGTCAACTTTGGAACGAAGGTACATCCAGCCGAGAAGTCTAGAGTAGAATGAAACGAACTTGTCAGATTCCATTGCTAGCCAAATTCCATCTATTCTTAAATAAAAAAGATGTACACTATCCATAAATAATAACAATGAACAAACTGATTAATGATTTATAAGACTTAATGATAATCAATTCTCTCTAATTCATTTAGTCATTAACTGATTAGATGACCGCTGATTTATATAATTAATAAAACAAGTATTTCTGTACAAAATGTTTAAGGAAAAATAAATATAAACAGATATCTTTAAATGTGGTATTTGTGTTAATTACTAACTTCCTTGTACATCATTCAGCGCCTAATCGGAATTACAAGATATAATACATTCAATTGTGATCAATATTCTCTCTACACCTTATTTACTGAATTGTTCATGACTGCTAGTATACAAACTGAACAATTGTGGAAAGTATAACATTTACTTCATTGGGTTCAGATAGTGAATACACTTTCTGATCAGCACTATGTTAGTATTATCACTAGATGACTAGTGCAACATTTGCTTATTTCTATTAGTTGTAACCGACATTTATCGACTAGTTGAAGAATAATAATCGTTAATTGGCACGGTTGTAGATCATTGGTATGATATTGTACTTTGATTGGAATATTTTGTAGAAAAAGAATATTCTTCTGAAGTTAGTTATTAGTTATACAATTAAGATGAATATTTATCCATATGAAACGCATGGGAGTTTGTATCAAGTTAATCAGTTTCAGTTTCATAAGTTTAATTTAGAAAAATTTGTATGCATCATCGTGTTAATTACTTGATCCTTCAGAGTATAACTAAATGATTGAAAGGGAACTGTTAGAACTTATGCACTTGGCAATGTCAGTTTAAGCAATGATCTTTGTAAATTGTAATTAATAGTAAAGTTGAGAAAGCGAGTTTCGACATGTTTGGGATTGGTTCGTCAAGTGCACTCGGATCCCAGTAATAACGTTTAAAATGTGGTTCGAATACGGATTACTCAGTCAGCTTCTAAGTCCACATAGGCATGATCTAGCTCTATTAATATAGTGTTTATTAGTTTCAGCCTGAACACTAACATTATAATACAAGTACATTCAGCCTGATGAATCAAAAATGGGATGAAGCTCACGTTCTAAATTTCTTTTTCTAGCCACAATTCATATACTTCAAATAATTTTCCATAAAATAGTTATATTGATGAAATATAGTAATCAAGACCAATCAATTTCTTCAGTACTCTTGTTGATTAAAATCTAAAACTTCAGTAAAATTATAACCTTATTTCAACTTACTGTTGTTTGTTTGAATCTTTTCATTGATGTTTAGCACTGCAACTGGTCAGTTTCTCTCAGTAGCTGAGTGGATAACGTGATGGCATTTGAAGCGAAAGGTACTGGATTCGAGTCCAAGAGTGAACATCAAATCTGAGATGCTGGTATATTCAGCTGACGAGTCCTACATAGGACGAAACGCGCCTTGTCTTGGATTCCACTGCTAACCACTATCCATCTTTGCTTATTCCAACTGTTTATTTTTAGCCTCATAAATATATGAATGGTTCACTTTTCTAATATTTAATTACTTTAGTTATTGTCTCTATGACACAAATTAATCAATAATGAATGGATGTGATATTCATTATGAATGTCGATGGATCGATAAAATTAATTACCAAACTATATTGTACGGAATAACCCCTACTTGTTAAGATTATATTAAAGAGACAGAGCTATTTTTAAGCTGGAGGAGATTAATCTTTCTTTTCAAATTTGAACTTAAAACTATCCATATCATTAATTAAAAATGTGTAGAGAAAAGTTTTCTCTTAAGATAATTAATTCATTGAGCATTCATTACTTGGTGCTTATCTTGTTGATAGTAATGAGCTAAACTACTTGAAGGTTAGTGGTCAAATATTGAGGTCAGTTTTGTGATCAGTTGCATACACAAATACCATACTCGTAAAAATTTACCAACAAGCCGGTTAACCATACTTTAGACTACTTCCGTTTTTTAACAAACATACTATTATCACAAAAACAAGGTTATATTCTGTGTCAACGATTGATTAGTTACTTACAAATGTTTGATACAAATGGTGTCAAATCTTGACCAGGGCTTATAACTATAGACAAGAAACAGTAAGTTATAAAACCTCGCTTCTAGTACCTTGTAGAACAGGATAAAACAGAATGGTAAGTTATTGGTTAGTGTATAATATAATTTTATCTAGTCCTTAAACTTCACTGATATCTATAAAGGAATGGATGTGACATTGTTCATACTTCATCATCAAAAACTATATTTTAGTTCCTATATGTTGATTAACAGCCAACGAGATTGAAGAGGATTCAAGTAAGGCTTAGTTTGATAACAGTAGTATCCAAGAATTTTAACGCGATATTCCCATATCCAATTACAAATGAAGGTCATAATGGTTAACAGGAGAAGTACATTTCGTTTTATGCAGAACTAATGTAAAATGCTACTTCTAAGGTAACTAGTTATCAGAAGAGATACATTCCATTACAAGTTGAAACGTAGTCTGATGTAGATGCTTGACAGAGAGACTTGAGCTGGTAGTGTATCCAGTCAAATTACAATAGCAAGCACTAGTCTTGAATGATCACGGTATTATTTGTCTTGGACAATTGGTAACGGCTAGAATGTCAAGCAGAAAAATAAATGTAATCTCATTTTAAACAGTTTTTATGCATAAATTAATCCGATCATACATAGAATGCACGATGTGCATATGCTTTGTCATGTTTCTATGCAAATTCAAAATTTCATGTGCAACAGTATATTTCTAAGTGTAATGTGACGATAAAAAGCAAATCATACTAAATATGCGTTTAAAAAAACAGGCACCGAGTTAATTATAGATACTCTAGTCAAACAATTGAACAGAATACCAGAAATTATTTGCATCTAATTTACCTACTTAAAAGTAGTATAACAAAATTCATACAAAATTAAAAATTCATGGTGACATGAAATTTCTTCGTGGATGGTACTTGTCAATCAGTCAATCGATATTCTATCTCTAATGATAATGTTCACTTGAATAAATAATATTAGTCGAATTAAAAATTCTTTTTGGTCCGACTTTCCTAACTACATGTATGATTTTGAAGGGGACTTCTGGTGAAGCGGAGTGATCAGAATCAATTAGATGTTTCAAGATTGGGTTTTTGACTGACTTTTGTAATCCCTTAGAAAAGTAATTTTCGGAGATGTATATAGAAAGAACTTGCTTTTTTCAGCCAACACAAGTCGGTCTACATGAGCAAGTAAACTGATAGTTAGACAGTGAATTGACCCAAAGAAACAGTTTATTCTTCACACAACTACTAATCATAGGCCGACTAGAAATCCCTTCGCAGAGATTTACAAAGTCTGTTTTTCGTAATTTCTGTTGCAATATTTCCTCTAAATTGAATGTTCACAAAGAAGGTCTTCTCTATTTCTAGGATCAGTAGTTCACGTTGCTGTTTTGGTTTCAGATTTTTCCCAATGAATGTAGATGAATATCCGTTGTTGATCAGTATCTGCCTTAGTTTACCAAGTTTGATATCGATTTTACCCTCAGTACAGATTCTTCTAGCTCCTGTGCAGAGAGAACGGATCAGGTTTTTCTTTTCTTGGGTGAGACACAACTTTGAAAATTTCAGTATTGACCATTTCATAATGGCTTTCTTATAACAATCTACCAAATGCTCAATTTATTCAAAATTATCAAATCAAAACTTGCTAATGATACCTTATTACAGAGTAATTAATAATATATCGTATACAATTTACTAGTTGTAAGAGTCAAAATATCACAACTAGTAAAATCGTGTTATATGCCTGATCCATTCCCTGACCTACTGTGTCATTGTTAATAGTGTGCAAATCATTATCTCAACACCATTGAACAAATAATTCGCTAGTGTTCAATGTTATACTTAACAGAACAGCCACGTAGTTAATAGCTATCCGGATTAATCTCAGAGTAATATTGTTTAATTACTACACTGAACAACATCATTCACGACACATTTCAATTAATTCCGAAAAGTTTAAAGGCATAAAATAAGATTAAGTCGGGTTCAGTTTCAAACCTAACAGCTATTATCGACTTCTTCCACTACATAAATGTAATTGCATTCTATATGCTGATCGAGTTATCAGTTGATGTCTTTTCTCTTTAAGTTGACAGGAATACGGATTTCATAGGGATGATACACTCTTGGAAGACTAGGTGTGGTGATGGGTGATATCTGTTGCGTCTTGTGGAACGGTATTCAACACCATATGCTTAATTCCCCAATCAGAGGTCAAATTACAATTTTTTCACCTTGTGTATGCTATTCTTACTAAAGTCTAGAGCCTTAAACTTTGAACAATAATTCACTCTGATTCGCACAATTTATCCTGGGCTAAATTAAGCTGCACTCCTATAGGTAGCCTATCCTCAAACCTTTGTCTACAACTAGCCGTGAGTCTGAGGATAAGTTAGTGGTTAAGCTTCTATTCACAAGACCTTACCAAGAATTGTTTTGTGCTTAATAACGACCAGCTCCGAGAGGAAACTTCAGGACTTCTGATGAGAAGTTGTGGCCAGTGAAGCTAATCCGTCTTGGGTATGAGGCACTTATTCATCAAAGACAATGAAAGATGATCGCTCAATGTAGTGGGTTATTTGAAGTTACACATAAACACCTTGAGTGCCGTTAGAGGTAGCTGACTGACACATAAACACCGTTGAATATCGGCTGAGTAGTGTAGAAGTTAAGTATTCATGCACGAGAATAAAGGCCCCATGTTCGATTCCCTGCTGAGGAGTCCCATACTAGGACGAAATGGTTGTCCAGTGGTTCCAGATTTTCGATGGTTGACCAACTTGGATGGGTCAGTGATTTCAGTAAAACTCAACAACTCCCTAAAGTTAGTCTTAGTGTTATCTGTACATCTTATGAAAAAATCATCTATTTCGTAATTTGATGCTACATGGAAAGATTTTTTGAATACCTCCCTCCCTCACATATACATACACAATTCTTTTAAATAAGCTTATAATAACTACATATATACGATTGATTTATATCGTTATCATTCAGGCATTGAAAATTTCAGGGTTGTAAACTATCTAATAAAATATTCACAGTTGTAAAGTTGTATGTAAGGAATTACATAAATTTATATTTACTTAAATAGCAAGTTATGCAACTTTATTGTGTCATGCCTATTCTAAGTAAATCTGGATAGCAATGTCAATTCTTTGACTAAAGGATTTATTCAACTCATTAAATAAGATCGATTAGGCTCTAAATTATTGGGGAATAAAGAAAAAGCTAAGAAAACATCAATAATCCTCAAAATGAGTAGTTTGAGAGAATCAAACCATGAAGCTATAGACCTGCATGTCGCGTGTATTTGGCACTTGTCAAGTCACTCAAACTGGCGGCCAAATTTTAAATTGATTGACACCAAGGTTTATGACAAACAATCAGCGAAAAAGTTGGGTGTATTTGACAGCAGCATAAAATCGAGAAAACGCGTTGTGTTGGAAAGTTTAGTAAGTGGGAGCACTGGGAGGTAAATTACAAAATACTATGAGTTACAATCTATCTTTTGAGGATCTGCTAATTATATCTCTACAACCGAAATACAGATAAGAGTTAATATGGAAATTCAGTCATAAACAAACTAAAAGACATTTATTTAGCAAATTATTTAACTTATGCAAATGAACAAAATGCATAGTAGTATTAGAGATCGGTTCGACGATCTACTCTGCTTAAATCGGTGATCAGGCTGACCACCCACTCGACTCTATTTCCGATTAATTATAGGTTAACCTTGAATTGAGAGCGTAATTGTTGTGCAGGAAGAAAATTTTCCTTTTAATGTCTAACTGGGTCCCATCTGGGAGAGCCCATTAGGTCTGGCAAGGATGGAACAGAGAAAAAGCCATAAACTGTGCCCAGGGGTCTATACTAAAACTGCCTGCAGTATGAGAGCATATCGTCCATGATTACTTATTTCCGAAATGACTTATGCACTTGATATACATTCACTGTTCGGAAGTCGATGGGCTACAACCTGTGGTGGTCGCCTTCATACCTGTTTCTACCATAGAAAGAGTTTTGACCTACTCGCTCTATATATACGTGTAACGTACACATGCGAGGAGAAGCATCTATGCCTATGTATATACTGCAAGACATACATATCTTAGATATGTGCGTTCTGTATATACATATATGCGGTAATACCACGTTCCACACTGGTTTATTCATTACAGCTCTTCACGGTTTTAGGATGTTCACAAGTTTCTGAAAGCGATAGAAAAGTGTAGACTATAATTTAGTTAGGTGGGAAAATTCTACTACTACAACTACTGTAGAGATTAGTATTGTTACATGCCTGTGTGATTTCTCCTATGGACAGATGAATTATTGTAATCATTTCATTAATTCTGTTATACACATATTTGGCTTTGTCAATTACTAACGTGTAATGTTGATCATGTTGTGTACATGTGTGTGTGTGATAATACATAAGTGTCTATCCACTTTCCGTATTTTTTACATGACAAAGTTGGTGAGTTACCGAACTTCAATACTTTATGAAGTTACTAAATCTTTAACTTCCTTGTCTGAAGTTCGACATTAGTTTTTTTGAAGTATACAGATCTTAAATACAATTTGTATTCGACGTTCATTATCAAAGTGATCTGTCGACAAAATGTATGTGAAGTTAACTGGAATATATAATCATTAACGTGCAATCATTATAAAATTAAACAACGGGGTATAATCAAAGTAGAAAAATTCAAAGAACCATTTACGGAAAAACCAACAACAAGATACAACGAATATACTTTTCGATTTTATATTGGCAAAATAAAGAAAAATCAAGGTAACTGAATGCTTAAACTCGAGAAAATGATCAGTTTTTAAGTGAAAAATATACAAAGGAAGAATTGAATCACATTAAGAGTATTTCATTGATCGACTTTTATCTCAACAAATTTAATGAAGAAATCAAAGCGTGTCGTTAGTTTGATGCGTGAACAAGCATCACAAGCAAATTCAACTTTTTCAAAAGTGATACTCTTAATAGGAATAAATTATAACATCTAATAGGGGAAATGGATAAAATTTATTTTTTATTTGTTATGCTAATGTCCAACATTAAGGTAGTTAACAAACTTTTGGTTTAAAATAGAAGAATCTTTAATTTTGTCACCATGTATATGGTAGTTTAAATCTTCCACTAGAGCAAATCATATAGTGTGCACTATTTGACAAATTGTTACCATCGGCCACTATAATTCAGTCGAAATTACACTCGCTTCCTTACACTTGACCAAACCAATCAAGCAAGAATGAGGAAATCAAGAACGTGCAACACGTTTTAATGCCAATGATCGAACGAATATATACAAATACATCATAGGTATATACATATTAATTTTGTGATTCATATTAGGATAAGTGGATAAAGACTATCATTGGGTGAATAATTTGCTTATTTGTAATAATCTACCAACGCCTGTATTTCTTACTTCCATCTCGGCTTCAGAGGAAATATGATCTAACTGCAACGATTGACCTATTACAAAGTCATCTTCAAATTCATAAACATTTACCAGTTTATATATACGTGAAATTATGAGTCAATTGAAGCTAGACCACCGTAGAAAATCTGGAAGCACTGGATGGCTGTTTCGTCCTATTGTGGGACTCCTCAGCAGTGCGCATCCACGATCAAGCCTCACGAGATTCGAACCCAGGACCTACCAGTTTACTTTGAGAAAATCGATCGATATTCTAGTGTTACAATAATAATTGCTGTGTTCGGACCTCAATGAGAACAACACTACGAATATAGGTACAAAAAGTTGATAAGTATCACATAGAATACAACATCATTATTGTAAATGTGTGATACATTTTTAAAAAATGTTTTGTCTTTTCATGTTGCCTGAAAAATTGCTTACGCCAATGATTATATCATAATTCACAAATGAAATTATAGAGATATTAAAGGTGTAAACATTGTTTTAATTAAGCTTACTACCAAAACTTTTTTATGCTGTCAATTTATGTTGACACAAATCATCTGAATCTCTTCTGTTACATCTGATATAGTTACTAATTTTATCCAGTTTTAGAGATTTTGATAAAAGACGGAGATTCGATGCATATGTGTCCTAACATGACCCACAGTTTTTAAACCATTGATTATGACCATCAAGTAGACCTCGATCACAAAGTCTGCTACAGTTTCAAACTAATAATCAAATGACTTGATCTCATCTCAGTTTGACCACTCCTGGCTCTCTTTCAACCAGTCCTTACTATTGAACAACATTACACAGAGAAGTACGTGGTCATTAATACTTATTTTCTAACCACTAAAGAAAAGCTTAGTATTACTTAAAACACTTGATAATTTTAGAAAAACAAGATAATCAATAATTACTGGTTTACATCTCTACTACTTTCATTCATAATAAAACACATTCGTACCCTTTTTCATATATTCTCATTGTATAAAACAGAGTTTACAAATTTATGCTATATCATAATGAAGAAAGCGCGGAAAGACACCCCCCCCCACAAACTACACAATATTACAAAATAGGATTGGAGAAAACAAATAAACGAACAAATCATTGAATTATCATCAACGTAGAATGAAAAGTAAAAAAAAAACAACTGGATAAATAACCACATACACAAATACAAACGCACACACACACCCAAACATATATATATATATATAGAGGGAGAGGGGTGTAAAGATAATAATATCAATAATCAGCAGTAACAACAGAAGAATTGTATTTCTTAAATCTATGTAAAAACATGAACTGAAAGAGAACCGATAGTATAAGCTATCAAAAAAACACAATTATTTATTATTTAAATTATCAAGAAAATAGATAGATTAACAAAATTAAAAATCTGTTTCATCATCATAGAAATCTAGAAAGTTTACAAATGTTACACGTGTTACTGTACCATTTGCTGTGAATGTGTACTTGTAGTAAGATCCATCTGCGGATAAAACTATTCAGAAAAAAAGAAGCGATGAGGGGGAAAACAATGACAAGTTAGAAACAGAAATAATAATGGTTTAACATCTAAAAAAGTATTCAGTGATCAATACATAAAAAAGTGATAAATGTTTAGTGGTTGAAGATAGTCAGATAAGAAATCTCCACTCAACTTTAGTATTAATTCAACAGTGTGTAGACACGGTTTAGAGGGGATTGATATTTCTAGTAGGATTTCAATCTACATCTACCAATTTCCTAGTTTCGAGACAATACAACCGAATTATTCGAAACACAACTGAACGACGGTAAAACTGACATGTTTACATCGATTGGTCACTACTATTTCCTGATCAATCAATTTGTAGAGACGTAATCTGTCGATTGATAGTCATGTGACTAGTGGTTAGGTTAATATTTTATTTCATTCATTCAAACATACTTATAGTTTGTCTTTGGAAAAACTATGAGAGATCATATCTATAAAGTGTATCGCTGTACTGTTTAGAATAAAAATTACATAAATCTACTTAAAATTACGACTAATCAAGTTCAAAATTACTTGCATTACTGCAGTGGCATTCATTCTTCAATTCTAACTAAATCTTCAAGTATATTCCCATACTCTAGACTTTTTTGAACTTATTTATTACTTTCGAGCTGTCTGTTTTATAACTCTTGACTTGTTTTTCCTTTTCTACTAAGATTTTTTTAGGCGTCAGATGTAGGGTAACATGAACTGACACTTATTCACTAAGTACAAATTTGTGTAATTAGCTTTAAGCCACACTCTAAGTATGGGGGGGCTGGTGATACTGCCTAGTTGTCCTAATCGAAGTGAATAGGGCTGGGTTCAAACTTGTGAATTGGTGGGTGTAAACTAGACGCCTTAATCACTGAACCCACCACTGCTCTACGCGATGCACATACAGGACGGGTCCCTGATTTTATAGATAACTGAAATTTAGAAAATGACTAGTACATATCACAGAGACGGAACTTCAGAAATAATATTTTGTAAAAACCAATGAAAACGCAAATGAAAAGCATGAAATGCGTGAAGGTGTAGCACATAAGGTTAATTTTCATTAAATGAAAGCCAGAGAGACCAATGGCACTTTGACAAGCCATCACACTATTAGTCCAGTGGTCATGATAGGTAGAGTGTCCAACGTTACGGTACGAGTAGCCAAGTTTTGCGCTACAATTGTAAAACATCATCTTCGAGTTAAGGAATGAATCCTTAGTTTAAGCATTGTTGAAGAATAATTGTACCAAGTCAACATTCATTTGGTTGATAAGTAAACTTTATAGGTAAAATTTTAAATCTTATCAGAATGGGGGTTTGTGCAGATTGTATTAATTTGAATAGTTGAACTGTGAGTCCTGGGTTAGAGTTCCGCATGTGAGAGGAGTCCCATATTCGGACGAAACGGTCATCCAGTGCTTCCGGCTTTTTAATAGTGGTTTAGCTTAGATCAACTCATGAATTCAATCATTAATATTTTGAATATCGTATACGCTTAATTGGTCTAAGATGTTGTATTATTATACTGGTTTTCAATGTCATATTAAATACTTGAGACATTTGCAAATCATACGATAGATTGAATACATAAAGGTAATGCATTAACTAACAAATTTATGCGTAATGTATAGAGAGAAAGAGAGAGTTGTAATAAAAGTTTCATATATTCAACTAAATGGTGACATCATCTGTTATATCCTAGTGAAGATTAAAGTACGGGTAACTTCTGTGAACTATTAATGGACTAATGTTTTATAAATATTCTTATTGTATAACTGCTCGGTAATCTGATTATGTATATCTATATTTATCTTATTATAAACTTCATTTTGACCTAGAGATTATTATTATACGGTCTACTGTCCTTAAGTTATGTTCAGTCTATTGATTACAGTCTTCCACGTTCACAGCCACTTTTTGACTTGATCTTATGTACATGTTATTTTCTATTTTATGGTGTGATGCGGTCTGTTTGGCTGATATACAAACTAAGTATGCTTGAAATAAATGATTCACATCGTGGAAGCTGTTATTGGTGTTCCGGACTCAACTGGGCGGGTTAGGCAGAAGAAAGGATCAATAAGGATTGCTCATACCGGTCGAACGTCATTGGTTTGGCACAGTGCTAAGATTGGATAAATCGTATTTCGATTAGCGAATAAATCACATGATAACCAACCGGTCTTAAAGTCACAACATTATCTTCTTGACGAGATCTAGGAAACAGCATTAAAATTCACATCTAAAGATCTAAGCATTGATAGTTATTAGATCTGATGTTAATGAAGACAATTTCAGTAGTATAATCTTCAATTTTTTTCTTTCAATGATTAGAGTCGTTTTGAAGTAACTATATGGAGCATGCTACTTATGCTGACACACTATATCCGTACTGAGAGTTGAAATGATCAAGACAGATACAAGAGTGGAAATAATGGCTAACATTATAGACAGTATGATTCCAGAAAAACGAATGAATTTACGGAAAATGTGCAAGATAATGTTAAGACTTATAAGGTAAGAGAAGATGAGTAAGTGGATCTGAGTCAACGCAATTGATACCGAGACAGATTATCGGACGTCTCCAATTGTTGGCTACGATAACTGAGAGAATTTCGATCAGGTAAGATGAACCTAACTACACGATTCAGTCCAACAATCAGTGGCTTCATGAACCGATCTCATGTTTCGTCTGGCTGTTCTTAGATTCCTTTCAACCTAATTCTACACCAATTGACATACCCTGTTGATGTAGGTGGTGGCACTTAAATCGGTAAACATTCACAATCCCATCAAGAGATCACCCATCTTTGCGTAGTCTTCTGTGTCTAACTTCAATATTGCTCAATCGTTGGTCCCAACAAACGCCATCAATGCTTCAAAGATACTCACTCATGAACCAAAACACATGAAGTCAGTGCATTTCATCTAATTTTATAGACCGTGTCATACAGCCATAGATTAATACACAACAAATTGTTGTTCAGTATACTAACTCTTTGATTAACCGATTAACATATCGACTATATCAGAGACCAAATATAATCCACGTAATAATTCAACAAAGAGATGATTAAAAACTGAACTAATTATCAGGAAGAAAATTTGTAAAACACTTCACTAACAAGATAGGACAAATAAACTAATGGGTTAAATGTGGAAGGAATAGTTCCGAAGATATTAACATTCAAGATGAAACTATGTAGCACATGTTTCTATGATAAAAACCTTGTAAACCAATGATAATAGATAAATAACTCTGAATAAATTACAACTAAATGGTGTAACGAAGTGAATAAAGAGAAAACCGTAACGATTATAATTATTATACGAAGGGATTATTTTTTTTAAATTTTTATTGTATAGTTATTAGGTACTTATCTAGACCATTTATTACTATTTATTAATTAATTAATCATTATTATTAATATGCTGAGACTCTAGTTTCTGGACTAACCAATTAGATTTAAGATTGCAGGTCTTGTACTTTGGCGCAAAATTCATTCATCTATTTATTCAAATAGCACTTTGGCATCATAGCTGACGTCAGTTCGTGATGAAAATATTAAATTTAATTCCTAACACTAACCATCAACTATAAATCATTATTCTAATTCTTTGCACTGTTTTATAACCCTGATTTAACTCTAGTACGTGGGCGGGCATTCTCAAGGTGTTTCTCTTAGGTCGTCCATAAATTATGTTCACACCGCTTTACCTTCGCTAAGTTATTGTTAATTTTTTATACTTTATTATTCGATTTATTTTTCAGTTATGGTGTATTTAAAAGCATACTGTAATTTCTTATTTAAATCGATGTATGGTCCATATAATTATATGCATTCTGAGTCATAATGATAATTGTACAATATAGAAAAGATATCTGTTCGTTAATTCTGTTCTGTGCTTATTTAGACACTGTATTGGAAGGAGTTCAATGACCGAAAGTTCCATCCTCTGTTCATTGGCCATTCTCGCTGGTAAAAGTAGAAAGTTACTAATGCTACAGCTGATAGAAGGAGGATTAATCAATAAACGGACACAGTAATTATTTGTTCCTATCATAATTAACTTGACTACCATATAAGGACAACAATAAAATAGGAAATATGTTTGTCTTATTTATAATTACAATACTAAAATGCTCATAAGAACAGTAAGAATTTGACAGTAATTTAATTTAAATAAAACTCAGTATTTCAGATGATGATTAATTGGCTGGTTGTGTAAGATTGATATATTTCGCCTTACATTCGGTTTCATCGTGGAGTACAGAGTTTAAATAATCCAACTAGATAACTTTTATGGTGTGGTTAGGGCCAGTTAGTAGCACTTCAATTGTAATTTTATGCAGATTAAAACTGTATATTGTAAAACTGTGTTTTCCGTTAATAGTAATTATCAGTTACATGTTTAATTATGATCTTTTCATAGTTGTAAAGCAACGTTAAGTTTAAGAAACTAATGGAGTAGTACTTGGAAATTGTGGTAAATTCACAGTACTGAAAAGCTTCCACAAATATAACTCACTTACTAAGTTAAAGTCTTGAACATTCTGAACAGAATAACTGTTCGCCCACAAATGTCCTGGTACGGCCGAAAGTAGGGAGAGTTAGTTCTCTTTCTCAAAATGCTATCACATGACCACATGAATACAACCACTGACAGGGAAGTCCTATCCACTGCCTTCTCGTGACGAAGGTGTTGTTTACGAAATTGAGCGGATGAAAAGTCAATGTCTGGCGCTTTAACCAGGTTGGTGGATACGGAAGATCTACCTAGGGGAGTTGGCAAACCTTGATTTTAAACCAATAATGCACATGGGCCCGAGGATCCTAAGGAAGCAAACGGCGTTGAACCTATTGTTGGTCGCCAACTACCATGGGAATGCATCTCCCTACGTTGCGCCACTGTCTTTTGGATTAAACCTTTGGGTTAAAGGCTCGGGGAGTGGCCCCCTAAGAAGACCACACGTTTCGGTTTGGGCACCCGGGCAGCATCCCAGCCCTCACACAAATTGAATGATTTGTGTAGCTCATATCTATTTGGTGCCTCCTTGTATCAATGTTTATATGTTTAAATAATAATACTAATCATACAGGCAGTTAGTCGGACAGATGAATAGTGGCCTAATTACTTTACAATAAATAAAACGTCTACAGCTAATTACTAGTGGATTTACAATGATAAATAATAAAAGGATTGAATATGATGGTTTAGTTGAAGTGGGTTTTATGAAGATTGGTCTGATTTATAGATGGTATTCATCCCAGGTTGAGATCATTTGGAATACCGTTAAAAACCAGGGGAAATTATTAAGACTACTATTTCGTATTAGTATAGAACTAATCTTAACAATGAGCGCCTTACTGCTTGATTGGACGCTGACCCCATGGGTCTAACGAGTAAGCGTTCACCGTGGGACCTGAGTGTCAAGGAATTCGATTATTGATGGTAGGGTCGTGGATAACAACTCCGAAATGTCTGAATACAAGGACAGAACATCTGCCTACTTCCTTTTGGCTTTCAATGATACCCCGACTGAGGTCAATCAGCAATAAATAAAACAACCTGCGGATAAACATTACGGGTAAAAGCAAAGTGTTTTATTAATTACTTGATAAATGTCAACTTTTGAAACTTACCTATTAAAGTATCTGGACTGACAGAACTGAAAGCACATATAGCTTTGAATTTCGTTTCCAAAACACATCGTACATGGCTTGTAGTAGAAAATAGAGAACGTAGAGAGAGTTTACCGGAACTGAAAGTAGAAATTTCGAGTAGCATAAAAAACGGCACACCATGCAACTTATTTTTTATGCTAAAAGAAACACAATACACTAGTAAATATCTATATCTCTCTGTTGAAGAGCATATGACCTAAAAAAGCTTTTGAGAAATAATACTAACTTCTGCTTATTTACTATGAGTTTGCATTTTCAGGTTATTGATACTAGGGTGTACAAATGATCAATCTTTATTGGTTTGTATGCATTCTGAGAGAATTGCTTTGATATTCTTATTTTTCTCATTCATGATATAAGCCAGTTGATATTTGAACTCAACAGTTCAGTGGATACCGTGTTATGTTTAAAATTAGCATACACAATAATTCCGAATCCCCCAATGGTGTCTATCCTGCTGAGTCAATGTTCACAAGGAAGACCTCGACTTTATTTAATAGCATGTATCCACAAAAAAGATGAGATTATAAACCCACGATGAGGAGAATCGAACGTCAAATTCCTAATGGGTTACCAATGTATGTAAGAAATTTTCGACAATGGGGGCTTACGTGAATAGCGAGTGTTATCGCATGAAAAGTCGGTGACGTGATGTACGAAACTGATGTTCGAGGTAAATGCCTGACGCGACATGTAGACCGCATCCATGACAGACAACTAGATTCGGATAAAGAACCTCCTAGTTCAAACTTGCCACTAGATTATTTAATTAATACAGTCCATTTGGAGAGACAAGATCAGTGCAAAAGAATTGCTGGTCAGAACCCAAGAAGACGAGGTATCCCTCAACGCCTTCAGTTAAATTCAAGGAGAAAGATATATTTTTCAGGAGGGAAAGGTGATATGGTAAGCCAACCAGAAGTGACTTGAAGTACAAGTGCATTTTAGTAGCTAAGAAATGGATTAATTTACTAAGAGATAGAGTCGTATATATATATATATTGATAACGTTTCAGACTGTGAGAATGGGTGACACAGACTCAAGTCCTACAGGGAGCATCAATTCCTACAAGACTGCAGGTACGCCTTACTAACGAGTACCGAATAGCATGAAATCCAGATTAAATCAGGTGTCATGATAACTACACCCAATAACCTAATATTCAAACATGGTTCTTGTTGTATATCGAACTTAGATTTCTTAGTCTATCGCACAATACTTGAGCACTCGAACGCTGGAACCCTCCCAAGTCACAAATCAAAAGACAGAAGACAAGTTGAAGGAATGTTATTCCAAACAATGTCGAATATGGTACAAAATTATCAGGTATTTATAGTTTTTAGTAGAAACAAAATCATTATTATAGTTATCCAATCCGCAGACAGGGAGTTATCAGCATTGTCCAATAGGGAAGCTCCACGTGGCAATTTTGGAATATTCTTCCAAAAGCTGATTGGATGGAACATGTCGGGCTCCTTCTGGACTTCCTAGAGCCTCCTCGACTTCATCTGTGGACCATACTCACAGTTCTCACTTACACCGGTCACCACATTCCAATTTCATCGAAGGCGTTCGACCACTACTAACCACTAGACAAACATGACATCGCACCGTGTTTACCAATTTAAATGTGTGTGTGGTCACACATGCATAGGGAGGAGCAATCGTTATCTCGAAATTAGGGTGTGTGAACATATACCAAAATGGTTGAAGACACAAATAAAATCAAATGACCCAATAAAAGTAGATGATAAACATCCATCATCCTCTATTGCCAAACATATAATTGAGACAGGCAATAAGATTGATCTTAATTCGGTTTTTGTGGTGTTGTATAAAAGTGTAAAAGGGCGTATACTAAGGTTTATTGAAGCCTTAATCATACGAAAATTCTAACCCCCTTTGTGTATTCAAAAACAATCTCGTCTACTAAAAGTAGAGTCTAGTTGACCTTATATTTTTATATATAAATGTTCTTAACAGGTATATATGTGATCAGATTGTTCGAAATGTATTGCGTTAATATATCACATAGTTCTGATAATCTTAGTCATCTTATCACACTATCGAAATATGTCATTCACCAATACTCACTGATTAATCACTTATCAATGGTCAACGTGCACAACTCCTCCAAATCGGTTAGAACAACTGTTACCTACATATTGCCTGAACAGTCTCATGATATCGTCTATCATCACATACCACATCTCATTCACATTTCCAGTATACTAAAGTAAATAAGGTGAATAACTAATTTACATCACCAATATTCACACATAATACAGATGACTTTTTTAATGAATAGAATACTTTAATGTAGTGGCATTCAAAATCTTACTTTAACAACTCTTAGTTTTAAATATCAGATTATCTTAATATTACATCTGTGTTACTGCTAACTATTATCAACTTCTTCCATTACATAAATGTAATTGCATTCTATATGCTGATTGAGTTATCGATTTGTTTTTTTCTCTTGTTCCTCTCTATTCCAGACTTCCACACATGTGCTGCTTTTCATACTTCTCCACATCTCTACATAGCATATAATAAACATTCAAATGAGATTCAAACTGCTATATATTGGTATCTTATCACAGGATATAACTCGAGTCACCTACCTGATCGAATTTCAGTTTATACTTAATTTTAAACACGCACATATACATATCATTTTAAAAGAGTACGATAAAATATATAATTAAGCAGATAATAACAACAACGACATACCCAAATCCTGAAGATTTTGTCAAATGAGGACTATGATTACTACTAGTATTACTATTATTACCACTACTACTAATACTATTACTACTACTACCGATTTGAATATTACGAGGATTAGTTAAAGAATCTTTTGTAAGACAAAATATATGCGCAGTACCACGTTCACTGGTAACACATAATAAATCACTGTCTTTATTGAATGACAATGATGTAATTGTAGCTTGACTAGTGCCACGTCGTAATTCATGTAACAAAGTACAATCTTTTGTAGAAAATATACGAATTAATGTGCCTTTTTGTGATGCTGTTGCCAGTAAATAACCATCACGATTTAAAGTGATTGATGCAAGTGGATTTTCATGTGCAATTATTTGTCTTGGTGGCATATTAGTAGCATTTGTTGATGATGGACAAATAGTATTGATAGATATTGTATTTGTACTTCCAATATTATTATTAGTAGTAGTATTACTGTTATTGTTAGTGATATTCCCAGAATTATAATTATTTGCGTTGTTATTAAGATTGACATTGCTACCAGTATTTCCAATATGAACTAATGATACAACACCAGGTCGTCGTCCAGGGAATACAACCAATGGATTATCAACACTTTGACAGACATAACATAATCCTGAAGGATTTGAACATGTATTTGATTCAAAAATTAATTGGGGTGATGGGCTAAATGTGTACACTTTGACAGCATTTACAAGTATAATTATTATTCTATAATGAAAAAAAGAGAAAATGTGAGAATGGGACAGTTTAATCACTCAAAAGCATAATATTAAAAAGTAAAACAATAGAGTAATATACATTTGAGTAAACCAGGCCAGTTGGTCTCGACTGCTAGCAAAAGTTGACGATACTTTTCTTTTGAGAAATCTGAAAACAAAAATGGTCTAGGCGTGGTCTTAACGACTTGAGAATGTGACCACATTACTCAAAACATAACTACCTGGGGATGATCACACGCAGCTTTTTGTGAGTAGCTTTAGACATGTTAACTGCATTCCTTAAATACTTACTCTGGGCGACCGTAATGCACGGGGTAAGGTAGAGCTTAACAGTTTAAGGGTCAACGCTCTCTAACCTCCCCCAACTAGTATGAGAAACAATCATTGCTGTAGGTGATGATTGCCAGATAGAACAACACCGTACACTTGGATGTCAGATTTGGCTAGCAGACCTTACTTTGCTACATTTAGTTTTATCACTCCCCATCCAACCAACCTGCTTGTCATGGTAGGACATAAACGAACGAGTGTTCCAGTTAATATAGTTTGACTGGTTTGTCACGACAGACAAAATCGGCCATTACGTCAATGTACCAGTTACAGTCAGAAGTATGTCACCTTTAACATACAGATTATTTTATTTATTTAAACACATAAATATTGGTACAAGGAAGCACCAGATATATATGCGCCATACAAATCTCATTCGATTTGTGTGAGGGCTGTGATACTGCCCAGGTGCACAAACTGAAGCAGGTGGTTTTCTTAGGGGGCCACACCCGGAGCCTTTGACCTAAAGAGCTGATCCACAAGATAGTGGAGCATCGTAAGGAGATGCAATCTCATGGTAGCCGGAGACCAACGATTGATTCATACGCCATTTGTTCCCTCAGGATATTGGAGCCCATGTGCACCATTGGTTTTGAATCAGGGTTTTCCAACTCCCCTAGGTGGACTCGCCGTGTCCACCGACCCAGTTAAAGCGCCGGACATTCGCTTTTCGTCCTCTCAATTTTGTAAACAACATCCCCGCCACGAGAAGGCGATGAGTAGGACTTCCCTGGCAGAGGTTGTATACGCGTAGCCATGTGAGAGCATTTTGAGAGGTAGTGAGGACTCTCCCCACTCTCGGTCGTACCAGGGCATTTGGAGGCATAGATCATTTTACGTACACACAAATATATGATAAGCCATTTACCGAATGCATGTTTATATTTTCAGTTATTAACTAGCATAATTCGAACATGGCGATTGGGAGCATGTTATGATAACCCACGCAATTTACATATAGTTACTGGGATATGATATATATATATATATACTGCTTATTTTCCATCACATTTTGATTGCTAGTATCTATTCAAACATTTCTTCTCATTGTCTTTTAAAAGTACATTCTCAATATTTAGTGTTTCTGATGATGATTATTATTACTCCGATTTGTTTGCCATTCATATTGTTGTGCAAATGTAGTATGAGAACTTGAATTAACGCATATGTATGTGTTGTAGTCTCTACATTGATGATGACTAACTAAATGAACAATAAAACTATGTTCAGGGTTTCATCTTGCTGATTGACTCCAACTTCCCAACCACATGCGCCTAGTTATGCTACTGTGATACAACAGTTTAATACGATGCACATGTTTGCCATGTTCTACTTTGATGATAACTGATGACTTACTGAAAAGTTAAATCCCTATTGTTAGTTTGTTAAAAATTCACCTGAATTAAGGTATTCCTTTAAGGCAACTATTATATGTGGATATACTTTAATGAAATGTTTGATTCTAAAATAATAACTCCACACTAAATATATTACTTATTACTTCCATCGCAGGCAATGAAATAAAAGTGATGGCGAAGATGATAATGATAACCTTGGGAACCAATGAAATTTTTCGGAAGAGTTTGTTTTATTAACCTTGAAAATGTATCCATTGAATTTATTTTTCCTGACTAACGTCATCAACAGCCCTACAATATTTCTCCAACTTTTTACGCCACTACTTATTGCAAAATTGATCAGAGTTTATGAATCAAAGATTTCCGGCCTACTTCCCTTTAAACAACTTTCTTTGTCTCTCTCTTGATGATACATTGATAATGTCGACGTACTCAATCTACAAATAACATGGATCACTGACTAAGGAAGTAAGTCAAAGTATCTATCACTCTGGTGTATGTCTGTGTGTACGCAAAGAGTTGTTCCTTTTTCTGAATCGTATCGAAGGTTAAAATTTAGTCATCTTTTGTTGATTACAAAGTCAACTAGTTGAATATCCAACACTTCAATAATAGATTCCTGAGGATTTTTATAGATCCAAGTGCTCTATTCAACTGAACAGTATTGAAATAAAGGAAAAACCAAGTTATATATACATATATATATGCTAATAGTTCAATTATTGTTTAACTGATGTAAAAGATGATTGATCTTCAGGTTTTACGATGATAGAAAATACTTTGTTGAATGTAGAATTTTACAAGTTCTCAATTAATAACACTTGCATAGGATGATATCTTACTTCGATATTGTTAAAATAAAATCTAGGTTAAAAGTTAATATTTGTAGGTTGTATTATTAATGGATTGATTCGACCTGGAATACAAATGAAAACTGAGAAACACCGAACATTTGTTTTGTCTTCATGTGAACAATTGAGCTAATATAATGTGATAGTAATGTATCGTGTCTCATGATGAAGATTCATTTGGGGGCTTACAACACTTGCAGAATTAGATGATTGATCTACTCTGATATGATTGATTCTCTTCGTAATCGATAACAGCAACAAATACACACACACACACAAGACACACCAACATGTGACGGTTAATATAGGGAGAAGATAAATTGTAGGGAAACTTAATGTTCGAGGTAGTACAAGCTGTACAGCACGAATCTGTACAATTCTGTATTTAAGTATGCACTAATAAAAAGATGACCCTCAAGTACACAGAAATTTAGAGGACCGAAAGCAATGACAAGTCATCGGAGAAAGGTTAAGCTCGTGTGGAACATTAAATTACGAAAGACACTTGAGGCTATTGTTTATAGTAGAGATTTTAGTATTGTTAACAGAATATGTATGTTCTTGTGATCGTCTTAGCATAATTATAAAATAAAAAAACATAAATATTGAAAATATGGTATGAAAAGACAGGGCGAAAAGTTATATATGGAAGGATACTGAAATTCGAGATGGTAAGGAAGCAAAGGAGTGAATGCATGTCAGTCAGTCACAACGTAGAACTTCGTACGTACGTACATCAGTTCGAGTTTCCATACCACATCAGCACAGAGATGCAGTTGTCGATTCAAATCCCATAGTGGTAGAAGTAGTAAGAGTACAAGCAGTAATCAGAAAGATTAGGGTTTGAAGATGTTATTCAAGGAAAATAATCCAGTGAAATTTGGAAAGAGAAAAAGGACACAAATAATTCAGAAGATTAGAATTTGGGAGAACACAAAGAGTGTATACACCATCGCCATTGCAAACGATTTTGAGCCATGTCATTCAAGGTCTCTAACCATCGGTTGATATGATCTCGCGGATCCCAACCAGGTAGTCTACACCTACCAACATGCATCAGTCCACTTGTCAGTAACTTCAATGGATTTTTGCCACGTTTTGGTCTGGCCGCCCCTAGCTTTCTTCCAACCTACTCCTACACCACAAAACATTGCACGTCGGGGCAGTCGGTGGTTGGGCAGTGAATGCATGCATGCATGCGTGATCTCTAACCATCGATTATGATCATCACATGGATATCAGCCGAATAGTCGGTATCTAGTATTACTATACTTCATTATATGAGACTATTCATAGTTAGTGTACACACTGATTATGATCATACCTTTTCGAATTTCTACTGGTTTATTGAATACCACATCGATGCATAATTTTGTTTCACTCGAAAGTTTATCTAATTTAAATATTTTACGGTAAAAATAAAATCTATATATCAATAACAGATACTTTTGTATACACATTTTGGTATGTATAGTAACTAAATTAATGTTTATTTGGTGAAACTATAATTTATGGACAACCTTTTAGCGACGCTAAAGTAACCTTGAGAATGTCCATCCATTAACTAGGACTAAATGATGGTTACAAATCAGTGTGATTTAGAGTTTTAATCATGAGCTGACATAAGCTAAAATGCCAAAACGCTATTTAACCAAATGGATGAATAAATTTCGTGTTAAAACCCAAGACTTGTTATCTTATATCTGATTGGTCCGTCCATAGTCACGTTGTTTATTTTAATTGATACGTAAACATAGATTTCTTACATGTTCGATAAATGTGTTACCCCTATTATAGTTCTATCGTGGACAATGGTAGACTATAAATTTATGTTGCCGAAATCTAATAATTTCGATACTTTCATGTACCGAATAATCACTGTGTAGTAGTTATCAGTATCTTGTTTTTTTAGTTTTTAGTAGTTGTTACAAATTATATCAGTCAAGTTGCTGGTCTAAATGGATTCAACATTGCTTCTATTATGTTTGATTATTTGGTTACAGTTCAATTATCACTGAGGGCTAGAAGAATACGATATTGATCAGTGATCGGTATAAACATTTAGGTCAGAAAGAATGTCAGTTGTATCCAGAAGACCACTGTCTGTGTCACTAAGTGACAAGGTTTCGAAGCCTCAACTCTAGCATCACCCCTTCCGCGGATATTGCATATATACCGTAATGATAAGTCTCAATTGACAAGAAACCAACTTCCATTACTTATGGCGTAGGTTTAATGTCCACCTGGCAGTCAAAGACATTTAAAGAATGCAGTTAACATGTATAAAGCTACTCACAAAAAGATATGTATGATCATCTCAAGGTAGTTATGTTTTGAGTAATGTGGTCATATTCTCAGGCCGTTAAGACCATGCCTAAACCACTTTTCTTTCCAGATCCCTCAAAAAAGTATACTTCCATAGTGTCGGCGACTAAGAAGGGACGACTGCTTTTGTACTCCTAACCACTCAAGATCACCTTGTCCATAACTACGTCATACCATAAACGAACAATTATACACTTGTCTAGTGTAAACCTAGTCAAAAATTAAAACATAACGTGTATTTATTAGTTAATATACAAACCCAACCCATTTATATGTAAATATTAATAACAGTAAAAGAGCAAGAAGACCAACTAAGGAGATTCCCACTTACCGATCATGTCTTAAACGAATGCCACGAACATCTGTAGCACAGGTGATTTCTAAGACAAATTGTTGCTTTATTCCATCCCATAAACAAGCGACATTACTTGGTAGACGTGAATGATTACCGCCACCCAGTATACCAAGTAAATTTGTACGAAATAACATTTCCATGTAGCCGACACCGGTACCATCTCGAATATCGAATTCTTGTTAATGTGAATAAATATAAATAAGGGGTTATATATATAATGTAACTCAAAGCCAATCTGCTAGCTAGATGATAACACATAAATGATTAGGGTATGTAATATATATGCCCATGTACCGACTACCTCGGCGCGCGATGAAAGTTAGCATAGGAGTACGTTCAGACTACGTGGTTATGGTCCACGTGATTATTGTAACCAATGGTTAGATACTTTGGGTAGCATGACTCAAAATTGTTCGCAATGAAGCAGGTGGATTCATTCATTGTCATCCTTTAGATCCCATGTTTCCTTGTAATCTTCTTTTATTACTTCGCTAACTTGTATATTCTCGAATTGTATCTTCACTGTTCAACCTTTTCTGTTACTACTAATACTATCGCTGCATCTACTACCCTGGGACTTGTCTTGACAATGTTACCCAATCGTTTTGACAGGGTGCGGCTTAGCATAGTGTGGATATCCAATGTATCTTATTAAAACAGGATGGATTTTGTTCCATTTGCCATTATCCAGGTACCAGGAAAAACAATTCCTTATTCAATTTGTTTTTTAAACTAGGGTTTATTTATATAAACAACTACTAAACGTTTCTACAGCGGTCTATCAGTCATAAGTAGCGCAGAACCCGGCATCGGTTCCATTTTGACGAACCACATACGCACGATGGAGTAACATTGTCAAGACAAGTCCCAGGGTAGTAGATGCAGCGATAGTATTAGTAGTAACAGAAAAGGTTGAACAGTGAAGATACAATTCGAGAATATACAAGTTAGCGAAGTAATAAAAGAAGATTACAAGGAAACATGGGATCTAAAGGATGACAATGAGTGAATCCACCTGCTTCATTGCAAACAATTTTGAGTCATGCTACCCAAAGTATCTAACCATTGGTTACAATAATCACGTGGACCATAACCACGTAGTCTGAACGTACTCCTATGCTAGCTGTCATCGCGCGTCGAGGTAACCGGTACATGGGAATACGCAATGCATGTCACAACCATCTCAGTCGATAATGGTTCATTACATCGTCAATCGACTTTCTATATTTGGCTCATACTTTGCATTTAACATTAGAATTGCTAACTCGGTGGTCCCAAACTATCTTAGCAATGCTTCGATGACACCTACGATCGAACGACAGTAACATGCGAATATTCCCTACTTTTAAAGATCATGTTTGACGCCCATAGAGTGGAACAGAGCGAACTGCTGTACAGTAAACTGATCCTTCAATTGGTAAAAAAAAATTACCACCAACGCTGTAAGTGACGCAAGTTGTCGAAGCTGATAGAGCTTTCTGTATTCGTCCCGAAACTTCATCTGACACTAACCCATCTGGGGTGATGAGTCTTACAAGATAAGTGAAGTGGTCAATACACCAAACAGGACTATATCATCGATGTACTCAAAATCAAAAAGAAAATCTGGTAGAAGACTGATTTCCGAGAAGTCAGGCGACGAGTGCTAACTCTAAAAGCGTGTCTGTAACAGAACTAAGTAAAAATAGGAAAGGCGAACAACCTTAACAAGTGCCACTTAAAGTTAGCAATTCCAATGATAGTTCCCCATAAGCTCTGACTACATTTAGTTATTTAATAGATAATAACTATACATAAGGAAGTGACATTCATCATTTAGCTTTAAATGAAGATTATGCTAGGAAGTAAGAAAATCTTCTTTATATACACACAGATTGATATAAAAATGTTGACCAGAAACATTGCTCATTATTTTACATCGTATATGAATGGAAGTATTCACTGTGGGAGAAGTGAATTTTGATACACAACTTGTAATTACACGGAAATTATGAAAGAAACAATCTAAATCCTTTACAAATACGCTCACTTTCTGAAAACATAGTTGTTTGCAGTCTACTTTCCGATGACTACGTAATTAAAGAAGAAATAAAACTCTGAATTGACTTATTCAGGGTGTCAACAAGTATAAACTTGAATTTGCTTTGGTAAGTGTATGCGCAGATTATGTCGACGTTAAACGTATCGTCTTAAACAGACGTATATGTTACTATAGGGATTTATAAAGATTCTTTTCTGTTTCATTCTAAACGCTACGAATGATCTAAGTTACAAAACCAACCGCAACTTTTTGCAATGAATATATTCATGTAGCACAGCCCAACATAGCAGATGAAAAACACAAAATTCTAGCAAAAACTAGGATTCAAAATGAAATCTTTAATAAAAATCTACACTTCACAATCGGATGACCTCATCTCAAAAACCTTTTTTCATAACAATTCAAACAGACTCAGGTTTCAGGTGCAGTTCTCACACATTCATATTTAATATGCTTACCATAACGTTCTAATTGCTTTAAGGGATCACAATTAAAAATTCTGAATCCATTTTGCATACCAACTGCGAAACAACCTGTAATAAATTAGGAAACATACAAGACCCGGGTGTAGATAAATAAATTGATATACTGATTTTTTTAAAGAAACCAACCTCGAGGAAGTTGTTTGGAAAAAGTAATTGAACACTTAGAATGAGTTTTTAAGTAAAATGGATTTGTGTCTGATAAAGCAGGGAGATATCAACTAACTGAGATCGATTCTTACGAAATTTTTAATATGGGATTGTGGAGATTGTTGAATTTCATTGAAATCATGAGCCGATCGATGTTAGAACCGCAATGAATACGTGGAAGCACTGGACGGTGGTTTTGTACTAATATGGGACTCCTTAGTAGTATGAATCCCCGACTCCACACGCAGTAACTGAATCCAGGACATTCGGTCTCGCGCGAATGCTTAACCTTTAGATCACTGAGCCGGCATCCAACGGTGTTAATGTCTGACTTCAATGAATCCATAAAGTTGTGCGACCATCTTGTGAAATTCATGAATGTAAAATGTGTTTTCGTAAGAGATAACATATTGTCACACTTGTAGAGCAGTAACTTTACGGTAGAAACATTCGGCTTAGAAGTGTAAAGCTTACTCCATCTAAAACTTTCATTTCAGAGACTAAGCCCAATGCTTTCGTCCATCAGATTGTATATTATAATTACATACTGCGATCATGTTTTGACGTTTGAGAGCTCGTAATACTTAGCACCATTCACAAGGGCTTGCCTGTAATCTTATGGGAGACGATAATACTTTCTGTAGGACTCGAACCCATATCACTCAGTTTCCCAGTCTGAGATCTTACCAGTGAGCTATTCGGGTAGTGATTGTCCACCCATAAGTTTGAAATATTTACACTGATTGATCGCTGACAGGGATCATTTGTTCTTTCAGGATTACGGATATGCCATAGTGACAAGTATCGACTATCATGAAAACTAGGTCAATTAGGGTTTGCTGACGACTACCTTCAACCATCTAAATGATAGTTGAAGTACGTGATTATAGTATACAGTCTCAGACAGAACCATTGAGCTTTATTTTCTTTCACGCAGCACTAAAACATAGAAAACCATTGTGAATTCGAAAGAGTAGGTTGTAGTGCCGTGCTTCGCTGACCGTTCACCTCGATTACCGTTATAATACAAATCTTAACGGTGCATAAAATCAGAAGGCGAATAGAAGAGGCAACCATAGTTTTGTTGATAAATGACGCAGACCAGAAAGTTATAAGCACATGAGTAAATATCAGCGAGCAAAGTGAAAATGACACGCATTGGAGATGGCGGGTAAGCCAACTCAATTTTATCAAGGGTTAATCAATGTTTATCGTCAGACAAGAATAAATGACAGATATGTGATAAATAGGATAAGAAGTGTACACACACCTACGCTCATATAAAAAATAGTCAGGGTTGATAAGTGAATGATTAACAAGGTGAAAACATGACTCATGATGGATAGGTGAATTGACTTGTCCAGAAGTCAGAATAAGGCATATGAACTTAACAAATCAACCGATACTACAAGGTATTTAGGATGTATCCTAGCGAAGACATAAGTACGGGTAACTCCTAGGACCTATTAATGGACGATTATTCTATATATATTCTTATTGTATAACTATTGAATAACTAGATTATGCATATCTATATTCATCTTATTGTAAGCTTCATTTTGACCTATTGATTATTGTTATACGATTTACTATTCCTAAACTATACTCAGTTTATTGATTATTGTCTCCCACGTTCCCAGCCACATTTGGCTTGATTTTGTACAAATATTATTTTCTATTTTATGGTATGATGTGGTCTGTCTGTCTAGTATATAAACAAAGTATGCTTGAAATAAACGATTCGCATAGCAGAAGCTGTGATTGGTGTTCTGGACTCAAGTGGACGGGCTAGGCGGATTAAGGATCAATAAGGACGCGGGATTACTCATACTAATCGAACGTCGTTGTCACAGTGTTAAAGTCGGAGAAGTCGTATTTCTATTGGTGGATAGTTCACGCGAGTTACGTCCTTGTTTAATTTGTAAGGTCATAACAAATCAGCGACGACCTTGATTAAGACATAACAATTGGCTACAACCTTGATCAAGACAAAACAGTTTGCATTACCCTTAAGCTGATATGTCTAAAATATACACTAGCCGGTTTATAAACATTAACTATTGGAATTTACATGGATAACTATTTATACATTAGGCCAATCAAACACAGGCTAAAGATAAGCGCACTCCATTGGTCGATATTTGGTTTCAGTTTCTAAGGAAGAACATGCCTTTGATTGAAAATACAGCTTTATTTTCCAAGGGAAAAGATGTATATTTATGAACGAGATTACATATACTCCTGATTTGGTTTTAGTCAATAAAGCTTCCTAACTCAAAGTAGCTGGTTTATGTTTTCCTGTGGAAGGTTTGTGTATCAATATCAAACTCCGAAGACCGAACAACGTAACAACTATTGAGCAAGGCATCTCAATTTTGCATGCAAAGCTGTCCTATGATGGCTGGGGCATATGTTATAAAATTCAAGCGACTTATTACTCTTGAAGCAATTAGTATTGTCACACACCTATGGGGTTTATCGTTACTTTTCGACAGATAAGTTATTCTAATCTTCTCAATCATTTTGTCATTGATATATGTGACCTCGAGCATGTATGCATGTGTCCAATCACGTTTCAATTAAACTGAGTAGGCACATTTGGTTTTTGCGTCTCTCATCTTAACGTCTGAGTAAACGGGTGCTTGAAAAAATCTAACATTCAGTATTTGGTTTTTTATTACTGCCGTCGCCCAAAATGCGGTTGGCTTAAATATAGTATAGGAAATCATGTTTATGGTTCATTCATCATTCGTCATTCATTATGGAGTCAGACAGCGGGCCTATACTCTACATGAGATGATGGAAGTAGGTTTCAGAAAATTAGCGCTCACGTCAAAACATAACTCTAATCTATAAAATAGTGAGTGTTGGTTCAAGTTGAGTTGAGAAACAGATCTACCACAATCATAGTTCGTGAGATGATTGCAGAAACCAGGATAGACGGGTTAAAGTCTATCATGGCAATATAGATTTATTAACTCCATATCTTTCTTCATAAACGCATTATTTGTCTATATCAAATAACTTTCGTTAACTTTGATCTTTCTTCCCACACCTCTTTTCAAACCACTACAAAGAACAGAAACATCACATGATATTTCATCGCCCAAACCTTTAAGTTCACTTATTTACCAGTCTACTTAAGATTTGTAAACAACTTTGAATTAGACCATGTTGTTGAGTTGTGGGGAAATAATAAAAAAAGCTTGACTCAAGTATTCTTAAAAACATAAGCAAATTATAACATTCCCACTGAGAACTTCATATTATCTCAAAATGAATATAGGATTTACATAAAAAGTATTTACCATAATCTTGATTGAATCCAACGAATAAAATTCCGCTGTTGCCGGAATCAGTTGGAGAAACTCGCATGCACATCTGAGATGACTGGAAACATTCACACACAACGTTCACTGATATGAAATAGGTCTCGTTTTACCAGGAATTTATGGATCCAGGGCACTAGTCAACATGCTGTGGGAAGAATTTGGAAATATACTGATTAACCTTTTGGAAGCATTTAAATAAGGCGGGAAAAGATCATAATATGGCGTCATTCTAGTTTTTTTAAGACTTGAGCCCTAAAAATCCCATTTCATCTTCTCACAAAAGCACATTACCAAACATACATGATCTATACTGAACGAAAAACAACTCATTCATAGAAAATCACTAGTGATACTAGCTAACTTTACAAGGGCGTAATGAATAAACGAGCAGAGAAATGAAAGTAGTAGCAAAGTGTGGATTCACATCTGACAATAGACTTTGTCACATTACGTTGCATCAAAGAGTAATCACGGTTTTAAAATTACTGATGTGTATAACTGTACTTCAGTGAACTCTCCTGCTGTCACGTAATTGTTCATATCTCTTCAACCAATGTAATCCAACTTGATTGGATAAAATAGGAGATAAATTCTAAACTCAGTATAAATACTAAAATTATATTCAGAACAAGTGTACATAAACGTGTACATCTGGTCAATGTATATATCGGCTAGATAATAAAATTGACATAAATAACATTTTCAGACCAGGGAACAATTAAATTCAGGAATCCATTGTATCACTCCCTATCAAGTAAACATCTCTATATTTATTTATTTGAACACATAAATATTGGTACAAGGAAGCACCAGATATATATGCGCCATACAAATCTCATTCGATTTGTGTGAGGGCTGTGATACTGCCCAGGTGCACAAACTGAAGCAGGTGGTTTTCTTAGGGGGCCACACCCGGAGCCTTTGACCTAAAGAGCTGATCCACAAGATAGTGGAGCATCGTAAGGAGATGCAGTCTCATGGTAGTCGGTGACCAACGATTGATTCATACGCCATTTGTTCCCTCAGGATATTGGAGCCCATGTGCACCATTGGTTTTGAATCAGGGTTTTCCAACTCCCCTAGGTGGACTCGCCGTGTCCACCGACCCGGTTAAAGCACCGGATATTCGCTTTTCATCCTCTCGATTTCGTAAACAACATCTTCGCCACAAGAAGGCGGTGAGTAGGACTTCCCTGGCAGAGGCTATATACGCGTGGCCATATGAGAGCATTTCAGGAGAGCGGACTCTTCCCACTCTCGGCCGTACCAGGGCATTTAGGGGCCAAAATCTCTCTAAGATATGTAATATAGAAACATTTAATATAATTCGAGTATTTTTATCAACGACAACGAAAATTTGTTAACATTCAGTCACTTGTGTTAGACCTTCACACCTCTAACAGCCCTCAAGATAACTGTATTCATAATCAATCTCCCTCTTCAATTTCTTATTATTCCTCACACCTCAACTTTCAACTCTAAACTTCCTCTTTGGACTTCTTCCTCAAGTGTCATAATGGCCAACGATTCTAGAGCGCAAAACACTGTCCCAGGTTGGCTGAAACGTCGCTTCAAAGTACACATTGAAATCTTCAACGCACCCTATGTCGAATCGGCCAGGTCTTCTTGGCTAAAACGGTAGAATCTCGTACCATTGATGTATGCTATGTCTACGAAACACGCATACAGGATCCTCACCTCGCCGAAACGGAGAGCCGATGAGATACATCCTCTGTGTACCTGGCGACCCGATGGATAGTTCTCGTAGACTTGCAGGTGTAGGCATAGAACTAAGTATGAGGGCAGAACAAGCACTATTAGAATGGACCCCGTTAACAGGCGCCTATGTAATGTTTGGCTAAACTGCTCTGTAAGAACTTAGGAGGATAGGGACACACGTCGTTGCCTTTTCATTGTTTCTGCATACGATCCCACTGATTGCAGCCCATATGAAGTGAAAGATAAATCTTACAGAAAAATTCTTGAACTTCTTCAAAAAGCTAAACGCTCAGACACAGTACTCGTACCAGGTGGCTTTAATGCCCAGGTAGGTAGCTTGAACCTGTTATATCTTGTGGCCGAGTGGATGACTAGTTAATGTGTGACGCGATAGAACCGCCAATCAGGGAGCAGCGAATTATCGACTGGAACAGTGACACGAAACCCGTACGAGCAGTCTACAGTGCTAACCGGTCCTGCGATCTGCCTAGCCCAACCAGTTAAGTCCAAAACACCAATAACAGCCTCAATGGTATGAATCATTATTTACAAACACACTCGATTTTTATACAAACCAAAGTAATCAATAAACTGATTATAACTCAAGAATCGTATGATAATAAGTCAAAGGTCAAAATAAAGCTAATGATAAGAGAAATACGAATACGAATAGTTCAGTTACGTAATAATTGTACAATAGGAAATAGGCATATTACATTGATCCATAAATAGACCTAAAAGTTACCATCATACTTGCTCAGTCTGCTGCTGCTAGATCTGTACATGCTTCGTGGAACCAACCTTTGCAGTTGTCACATTGCATGCCAGATGTAACAGCGACACGGCAACCAGGTCTTTTGCATGAATTTTCCATGGCTAGTGATTTAGACTGTCTTAAAAATACAAGCAGTAAATTTAGGACCATTAAAAAACACACAGCAAACAAAACTGGCAAAAATGTATAAAAACAGTTAACGATAAGCTAAAGCTAGTCTTTATGTGAAAACTATAAAAAAAACGATAGTGAGCTGAGGCAAAACCACGGTTAACTACTAAGTTGAGTGAAACACAGAAAAGAAGTAATCTACCGAACGTGCAGCTCAGAACAGATTCTTTTTGTTGCGTAAGAACACAGCAAAAGTTTGAGAAATGTAAATCACATTAGGACTAAACTTCCCGTTCGAAAAGCGTTTGATAAAACAATGCATTCAAAACACAAATGAAAAGTCAGGCGGTATTTCATCAGTTATGTACTATGAAACTTACTGTGCAGACAAAACTATGAACAACAAAACAGCAAAAGCACAATAGCGACAGGACGACACAGTAACGACCGGTTTGTATACTCCACTTCACCTGAATAGTCAAATCTTAAATATTCAATACCATTGACACGAACTTGCAAAAAAAGCGATGGATTTCTTTACTCTTGCTTCTTGTTGTTTCGTGATGGCTCTCAGTATTTCGCAATGTCTAATGGGTGGCGATCTAGCTACTCGATTACGTGGATTCTTTTCAGTGTTGTAGTTATTTGTGGAGTTGAATGTAAGCTTTTGACAGGAAGGATTCTGGATACCAGAACCTATCCCACCACCAGACAAAAGTTTGGCTAAAAGCTATCCACTGGAAGGCCGTAATCACTTCGGCTTGGGGGGCATTCCTAGTGGGGTCAACTCGTTATGAGAGTGGGTTCAAAACTGGGTGTTCGCTTCTAGCGGTAAATAAATCCTCAAAATCAATAGCTCTGTAAGTGTTCGATATTGGATGCCAACCATATTAGTTTTAATGGACTCATTTAGCTGAAGGGGCTCAGTCATGCATCCGCACCAGATCACGGTTTGGAACGGCGTGCCTAACGTCTCCTGTGATCATTAGCCAGATTTGATCAGTCACTCCTCGATATATTGTTAATCTATCAAATATATCTTCCAACCTCCTGGCTTTTGACTTTTGATCTCACTGGGTGGGAGAGATTCAATTATAGAAGGTGTTACTGGTAAAGTGTTGTCGAACTAAATTACTTGTGGTATCTTCACGCTCTTCTATGTGCAATCTTTTCAGAGTTGCCGTGAGGAACGTGATGATCGTGTTTTGGCAATATACTCAAGTTGGGATGGCCTTGTGTAATTAATATGTCGTATGCTACTGTCAGATCACCTCTTATTCTTCTATAGCTCAACTAGAATAATCTCAGGTTGATGACTATGTTCTCGTAAGATTTGTGTTTTGATACTACCATTCACTAGGTTGCTCAACTTTGTACTTGATCAGAGAGGTTTATATCTTTTTTGAAGAGAGAGGGCTCAACGAAGTTGTTGACTCTAATGTGGGTCAGTGTAAGATCCATTTTGAAGGTTTCGTGTGTGAAAATCCCTGCATGCATACATTTGCAATTTGTTCTTAATAGTGTCCTTAGTTGTACATTATTGTTAATCTTTTTGATGCAATTTGAGATTGTAATACTTCATTTCTTAACAGTTTTAGCATTTTCTCTTTCGCTTTCACTGAGTTTCTATGTTTCTCCCTGGACTGTATCTATGTTGTTTTAATTGATATTTTATCCTGGCAGCTGCGATATTGATTGTTCCCTCTTTGATTGTGTTGCTTGATTTGACTGGGATCGTGCATTTTGGTTGTGAATTGAAGCACTTTCCCAGAATTGGAAACACTTTGTGTTATAAAGCAACAAACAATTACTTGATCTATCTAGAAAGCATAGAATAAAACTTTTTTTGGTGCGTTCGATCAGTTATTGTGTGAACAATTATTGGTTGAATGACTGAGTGGTAATATTTGCTTAGAACCGTTGTCACCCCAATCACCTTGTTCTGACTTCGATTGGGGCGCGCGTTTCCTCTCTTTTGCCAGACAGTTATTCTTCACCCAAACCTAGTTTGAATATTATAGGTTTCGATTTTATAGTCAGTACGTACGTTTTAAAATGTTAAGAAACAACTATGGAATGATTGCTCCAAGTTCTTTTTTCTTAAAGTGGATAGTTGAGTTTGCTATGGCTGTATAGCCTTTGTAATTTAATCTGAAGTATGGGATCTCTGTGGTTGAGACCTCAAGATCAGGTTTTTCAGAGGCAATCGTGGGCAGATTTCAGGAAAGGTGTAAGTGATGTGATTCAAAAGAGGCAGGATATTTTGATGAAATTAGGTTCTCTGGGCTGGATAGTTTGATCGTGGAGCTTTCAACGTTCTTCTGAACGACATCATCAGCACAAACTTCGGGTAGAAGTGAAGTTTTCGAATTTCTCTACATGGGGTTCACAGCTTATCATGTACACCTCGATTTCCATTGGTTCTTGTTGAACTTGAACCTGTCTGTGTTTACCTCTTTGTTTCGGTTGTATCACACATTGTTTTGATTTTCGTTCCTGTTTTTGGACGTAATTTTACTAATTGACTGGTGAGTTGGATTGATTTCAATGTGCTTGTTTATTGCTGATTGATCTGAGTGCCAAGCTTCTAAAACTTCTCAGGTGTTTTTGGAATTGCCTCTGTCCAAAATCTCTACATTTTTCCAGTCGAATGTGTGTCCGCAGTTTTCCACGTGCACTGATATGAGTGAAGACATGTCATGGCGCTTGACTGCTAATTGATGTTCATACAGGCGAAGATGAAGAGGGCGTCCACTTTGTCCGATGTAGTGTTTTTCGCGGTTAGCAGAATTTATTTTTTAGATGATGTTTGGTTTGTCTTCTTTTGTCATTTCATCCTTTGGTTTGCATAGGATTGAATGGAGGGAATTTGTTGATTTGTGCGCAACACCTATTCCGAAGGTTTTCAGCAGTCTCGTTGTTGTTTCTGATATGTCTTTTATGTATGGTAAGGTGATCCTTTTGTTGATTTCTGTACTTAACGTTGTTGCCGATAATGGATGAGGCTAGTATTTTTTGATGAAGCTGATTAAGAAGCCGTTCTTTTGAAAGATGATCTTCAGGTATTTTTCTTCATTTTTTCGTGCTGAAATTGTGTTTCAGTGTGTCATCGCCCTCTTGAACAAGGTTATCACGCAGTTGATTTTGTGAGCTCTTGGGTTGTTGCTATTGTAGTTGAGAATTTGATCAGTGTGGCTTCCTAATCAGTTGAGTCTCTAGTTTAGCTGTGTCGGTTCTGGTGGTTAATATATGCAAGAATGATAGCTTGTCGCTTGAATCCCGTTTCATGGTAAACTTGTTGTCATAGAAGACGTAGTTGATCAGCCTGTAGGTGTTTTTTAGTTCATCATTTTTTAACGATTACGATTGTGTCGTCTACTATGAACATCTCGCAGCAAGAGAAGTGAAGGATTTTTTCAGTCTTGTGTCATACATTTGTTCAGTTGGAAAAAATATGTGGGAATTTCCTAAAAAATACTCCTTGACGATTCATTATTGTGGGTAACGATCTTCTGAGATACTACACAGTGTCGAAGAACATTTCACATCTTTTTCCTGTACAATCTGTCGAGTCAACTCTCACAATCAAGGAGAACAATAATGTGCTCATACACTGTATGTCCATTATGACTGTTTCTTTTTTCCATCAAATTGAATTGGTCTATTTTCAATTCTTTTATATTATTTGCTTGTTGATTGGAATATTGTTAGCATTGTGATGATTTTGTTTTACCACATGTCTGTATCATTTGGAAATAGTATCATTGAGTACCTGATCTTTATTCTTATTTAAGAATAATTTCGAACAGGATTTACGTGTTAGACGGCATATTTACTTATCGAGGTGAATTTCATCTTTTTTTAACTGTTTCGCTCTGTGTTAAATTTGAAACGGGACAAATACTTTCTCCTGACTACAGATAGTTGCAGTATCAGAAGAGACTTAGTGGATCTGAATGAGTAAGTCTATGAGCGGCACTTCGATTTGTGTATCAACCGAACTTGGTTCAGTATGTTCTCAAATTTATGTGCTATTTATCGGCATTAGGAGGCAAATTTGCTTCAGGATGAACGTATTGTGCATTTGAAACAACAATGTAGACAGATCCGTATACATGTGTTTAAATCAATTGTTTGCTGTGAAGGTAGTGTTGGTGAGAGGTCTATAGAAGCGTCCAAGTGACCCAATTGAGATACACGCAAAATCAAAGTTCGCAAAATAACGGATTGTCCATAATAGCGGTTCTTTATTGAAGGGTACAAAAAAATTATTTACAATGCACAAACTTGTGAGGTGTCTGAGGTTGTTGTTGAACGAATGGCTGTCCGTTAAATAAGCTAATAAGAAGGGCTTGACCAGATTAGATGTAAACAAACTCAATTGTATGTGATCTGCTATAAGTTTATCAACAACCGAAACCTGGACCAATGGCAAAACAATATGAAAGCTTTTGCCATGGTGATTCTAAAACGTTTGTTTGGACAGCCGCATGTGATCGTCCGAGAAACTTTAGAAGACTTATTCAATACTGTAAATCTTGATTATAATGACGCTGAACACCTATCGAACCTGGCTAAAAGAATGGAAAATTGTGTCGTGGTCTTAGAACAAATGAATTATTCTGCGGACCTAAATTCTCCAGTCACTTTAGAGAGATTAGTGAGTCTTTCTCATCAACCCATACAAGCGCAGTGGACGGAACTGGTAGACAGGTTGACTTAAGACGACAGAGAACTGACGTTTGCCGAGCTCATCAAGTATATAACATCCGGTGCATGAGTGACTAGTAGTAGATTTGGAGAATCGTTTGAAAACATGAAGACAAATTGTCACTCGCAATCGGGGCAGTGAAATGTTTCGGCCATAAAAACTAAATGCAGTATGTGTTCTGACGATCACGCCTTTTATAAATATCCACGGTTTTTAACACTTACAGTGGAGGATCGATTATATCACGTAAAAAGCAAGGGTGTCTACTTTGTATGTGTTAAGCAAGGAAATAAGGTTAACGAATGTAGACTAACGAAGCGCCGCAACGTTGACAGGTGTGCGAAGAAACATCGCTCACTGTTGCAAAGTGATTAAACAGCCAACAGCTAAAATGATAAACCTGGTATGGAGAATTGTTGTGGATTTGCCAAGTTACTAAATATTCAACTGTGTTTAGGAATGATCCTAGTGGGGTTGAGATCTGGAAATGCCGAAATTGTGGGTTATGCTCATTTGGATAGTGGTTCTGATGTAACATTGATAACGTCAGACTGTTTGAGGTCTTCAAAGCTGAAGGAAGATCAATCGTCAGTGTTCGTCCATATTATAGGTGGCAATAGAATGACAGACGTCACGAATGCGTCTTTTGAGGTATATTCTTTAGATTAGTCTGAGCATGTCATGATTGAAGAGGCTCTGTTTGCAGCAAGTATACCAGGGCATAAGCCAACGAAGTCGGCAGTGAATAACCTAGTTAAGTGGCCGCATCT